AAATAAAAGTGGCAGAGTGACTTGGCCTGGTTTCTACATCATCAATGCTACAGATGCTGCGAATTTTACAGTATCAAACTTCCTGCTTGGAGATGGTTGGGTTTGGCAGACCGGTGTTCCATACACCAGTGGCTTGCTATCTTAAGTTCAATTTTTTTTTTCTTCCGTTCTTTAGACGTTGTTATACTGATTGTTTCAATTATTTTACCAGATTAAATAAGCATGTAACATGATGCCTCGAGGCTTCCTAGGAGCAGCTCGAAATCAATTGTTAAAAACCAATTCTTTTAATTGTTGATATTAATTTTGTACTTCAGAATGCATTTATTTATCAGATACACATTTATGAGGCTGTCCTCTTGCGTAGTCAACTATCTAAAGCACACGAGAAGGAACGGATTGCATGGGACGCACTCTTATGCTATCATGCTACCGCTAACAAACACTCGAACAAATCAAGAAATCAGCATTGGATTGCTTAACTGTGCAATTACCTGGCAATTGCATGTTACAATCCAAAGACCAAATATGTTTAATTTCAATTTGGATTGATGAACTTGATTGAGAGACACAACTTGCAAAAAATAATAAAATCTGTTCTACTGTTGCATGTTATTACTTTATTTAGCGTCCGCATTTTCTCTGTCAGCGTCTATTCTGTTGTGTTGGTACTTACCAAAAAAAAGAAGCCTTGGATCCACTGTTATTTGTGGGTTGAAGCTTCTTTCAAGTTTTTCCTGTTCTATTCTATTTTCTGTTATTTCTTTCTTATGCACATATTTGTTATTGAGAACATTGCCCCATATGAGCTGCTAGCATCAGACAAAGGAAATTTTTACCTTATAAACCATACTACCCGCATCTGCATGAGGCCTCACGTGCAATGCAATATCTTGCTACAAGCAGCTTCAATTAATTGTTCTTTTTTCTTGTCCTTGTGGGTGGCTTTATGCAGCCTCCATGGGATTTTGAAAAAGCAGAGATGGTTACTGGTTAGCGAGGATCCAGCTTCTTGTTTTGGTTTGCGCTTCACCTCAAATCGTAAATTAAATATTGCCTTTGGCATAGGAGTCAGTAGAAAATGAAGGAATTGTTGTGCCAACTAAATGTCATTAACCTGATCACCAGAAGCACAATTGCAGGTACTAAGCATCCTAACATTTATGTTACAGTTAACAATTAAACTGTCTGATGTAATGCTCGTTACTAGTGCAGATTTCATTAATGAAATTACGATGTGTTTTATCCCAAAAAAAAAAAAAAATTTAAAATCTTCAAACGAGACAAAAATCTTTTGATTGTCATTAGCCATAGAAGGTAATCAAACTTGCAGATGCATGCAAATGCTTATGATACAGTCGAATGGGTAAATTAATTCACCCGTTAAAGGATAAAATAGTTAGACACACAACAAATTAGAATGCCCCCATGAATGTGTGTCTTTTAATGTGCCTTGGCTGTGGCAGCAACATGCGCAATGGTCAAGCCGGTGTTAATCAACTGGCGAATTAGTTGGTTCTTGTTAACCACCTCCAATGCATTGGGACTACTATCCTTGTATTCCTTAATACCTGCATCACAGCCATCCAGATCAGCCACAGCCGCTTTGGCAAGCTGCGAAGCATCGTTATAAATACCAGACACCAAAGAACTTATTGCATCTTCCACGAGCTCTGAGGCTGTTATATAATGATCAGCACAATCCATGAGGGATTGCTGTATCAGATCTGATTTTATCTGACCCAATGAATTGAGCTTTTGCTTGATAAACAGGGATGTGGCCGTGGCGTTCTTCTCAGCAAGCCGTAGCACAATGTAGGCAAGGCCTTTGATGTCTGCAGTTGGGCTGTTTCGATCAGATTTTAGAACATGAATGCAGAAATCTTTGTGGTTGGCTTCCTCGCAGGCCGTGTAAATTAGATCATTGGCATTAGAAGATGGGGAAGGGGCAGGTGGCTGAGCGGCGATCGGGTGAGCCCCGAGAACCAAGAACAAGGCCAGAGGCAACAAGAGGAACGACAGAGAAAATGGAGACATCCTTGTTTGGTGGTTAAACTCTATGGTGATCATCCATCTCGTTTTATACTTGGCGGTTTCTAGCTTCGGAATCAAGGTGATGGCTTGTGGTTGCACTCATTGGCTTAGCTTGATTTGTGAAGCATGTCAACAATTGACTGGTTGAAGGGAATTGGTGTTGAATGAAGGAAATTAGCCTGAAAAGTTGACATGATCAGTCATTTCTTAGAAAGGTGCGCTTGGCCACCCAATAACATGACTAATTCTTCCATCAGGTTTCAATACCTTTCAGCATTGTATGGTCTCCACATGAAAAGGGGTAAGCTTAGGGAGATTCCAAATTCCAAATTGCAAATTTTTCTCAATTATCTACTAGAGTAAATGATTGATTTGTCTATAGAAAATTTGAAGCCTGATATTTTGACTCCAAATATTTCTCCATAATTAAGGTTGCTTGTGTGGCATGTTTTCCAAAGAAGGAAGCACTGAATACTATCCAATTAATACATGTTCAGTTCGGTTTTGGAAAGTTGCTGAATTGCCTATCCTAACTTTTAACCAAGTAGATTATCTTGTGGACTTCTTTAATGTTTGTGTTTTTATTAATTTTTTAATTATTCTTTGTTTTTTTGGCAACAATTCTTTCCTTTTTTCCACTACCTTATTTGTAGTAACTTTCAATCGATTTATTAATTTCTATCTTGTAGATGAATTATAGATTGAGCATTATTTTCCCAATTTTATTTGTTTACATCATCATTACAATTTTCAATACACATTTTTATCTTCCCAATTACCTTTTTATCCCACATACATCACGTTACAAAAAGTGCTACAATAAAAATATCCCAAATAACTTACAATCCAAACAAACCCTTTATATCAATCAACCTATAGTTTTTCTTTATACACAAACACTTCTCCGCAATCATGGTTTGTTTCTTATTATAGTACAATACTTAGCTTGATTATATGTTAGAAGTTACTAATTCTAAAATTTGGACAATTTTTATTTTTCCTATAATTCGTTACTTCTTTATTTATATCCTAATTTTTCATTCTTTTGTTAACAATTAATTACCCTTCCATTTTCACTTTCTTAGTTATAGCAATTTTTTAATGAATTTGAGTGTATAAGCCATTCTATGTATGCAAGTCGTGTGCATGAATCATCAATGTCTGTTAATATTTTTACAACTCTATTGCACAAGGTGTGTACTCCAATTTTTTTTACATCTTCAAACTAAAGTTTTTTTGCATCTGCAAAAACAAAATGTTTACTCTGATTTTATTATAACAAAAAAAGTAAATTTCAAATTTATAAAATCTTTCAACAATTTATTTGATCACTCCCGTTCAAGGAATGGGTTAAGAACTAGTTCAGTAAAGAATTTAGTATCAAAAGGGCATAACCCAAAAAAAAAAAAGATTCGTAAGTAATATTCGATGCATACTTTGCCTTGGAATAACGTTCCAACATTGTGTAAAAATAATCTGCTCCAAGTAGGCAATGTTAGGATCAACGTTTACTAATTGAATTAATATCCGGGGAACTGACCATTGTTGGTACGGAATTATTGTATAGCCAAAAAAATTGCGAAGCTACACGAACATGATGTGAAAAGGTAAGTGATCCTTAGACCTTAGTTAGAGAAACCAATAATAAAGTGAAATGAAATAGAATAGAGAGCTAGAAGCTTTGTTTAGGTGCAAATTACGTAGAATTAGAGATGAAGAGCATGTAGAGGAGGCAATACGGGCATGGGTTTGAGGTGAGATCGAGTAATATGAGTTTAGATCCAATCTTATACGTATATGGTTTGAGACTAATTTGGGCGAGATCATTTTAAGATGGATTTAGATTTGATTCCACCTAATACCCAAATCAATTTCCTATATTCTATTTTTCTTTAATTTTTTTTATTTTTTTATATAATTTTAATATTTTTGATTTATTAAATTTCTTTTAGTCTTGTTGTGAATTTCTATTTTCTTGAATTCTTTTTTCCCCCAGAATTTTTTTATTTATTTTCTATGCATATGTTTTTTTTAATCTTTGAATTCCAATGTTGCTAAATTTTAGTTGAGGAAAACAAAGTCTTATAAAAATTTAAAAGAACTTGTATTTATGAGTATAAAGAAATGGCGTTTGGAACTATGAGCCATCATGAAACTACCAAAACTGAACAATATATTTTCTAATAAGATTGCATATGACTTCCATATTACTCCCAATATTTATTTTGATAAGTATTCTACCAGAAAAGGAGTTGAAAACCATTTACAAGCCTAAAAGAACCCTCACCAATCCCGTTTAGGCCCCCTTTGACTTGGCTGCACAATCCTGTCTCAAAACAAGAAGTTTCTTTTGACATTTTTCAAAAAGCACTCTAAATTGAGATCAGCGACAAAATTTTTACGAAAAAAGGGAAAAATTTTTTTTAAAAAAATTGATTTCTAATGGACAAAAGAGTTCAGGAAACTAGATAAAGGTTTTAAGCATAATTACAAGGAAAAAACTGAAGGACCCAACTGGAAGAATAAAAATGGTTCACTTGAGTCATTAAAACCTATACAACAATTGATGGGGGTAAATTTTTTATAAGATTTCCGAGCCCTAATGGGTATCCAAATATTTCCCAAAAATTCCCATCAATTGATGGGTATAAATGGAATTAGTCCCATTTTAAACCCAATGTTAAAATTAGAATATCCATCCCGCCCAAAATTCCTTTGAGCATCAGTAGCCTAATAGGACTTGAGACAAATTATCATCTCTAAGAGCATGATATGGATTCTTTGAAACAATAAACCTAAACACGTTGTCAACTCTAATTCCATCTATGGTTGCATATCAGTATAGTGCCAAACCAACTCAAATATCAAATTAGAACTTTTTAATTTTTTTTTGACATTTGGCCATGCATCTTATTAAAGCATTTTAGAAGGGAAAAAGCAATATAGAAATGAGTTGTGCCAATAAATAGAACAGACTACTCACTTGGACTTACTAATGCATTAGCAGTTGCTTGTAATAGCCTTGCTAAGAGTCTCCCACAAGTACACTAGGCAAACAAAAAAGAAAACAAGCCTTCAGTAAATCACCAAAAAGAGCTGTTGTTCCAGCTCTACTGTACCTATAGTCATATGAACTTTATGTTCAAAGCACTACGAAATATTTTAAAACACTTTTGAGTTCTGCTTCTCTAAATTTTGCTGCTACTTAACATCAAAACACTTGAATCTCGCTTCATTAGATTTTGCTGGACTTTAAGCAATCAACGCACAGAAACCAATTCAATATCATACACCAGCCATGAATCTGAGGGAAAAACATCTGGAGCTCTTTCACCATAACTGCATCCAGTAGAAGTTAAATGAAATTAAGAAAGGATCATTAAAGTGCCTAAAATGTGCAAACATGAAAATGGAAGACAATATAAACATGGAGGCCTCCAGCATATGATGACATACACCATTGATGGTGGGATGATCAGTCTCCTCCTGTCTCCAATACGCATACCTAGTAATGCCATAACTTATAGTTACAACAGCATACATCAAGCAGTAACATGAACAAGAACTGATCGTTCATAACAAAAGTTTTGAACTAAACATTCATAACAAGAACTAAACATTCATAACATTCATAACATTACATCCACATATCCAGTTTTGAACATTACAAGCACCAGAATTAAAGAAACAATAGAAAAAAAAATCCGAGGCAGCCATCTAATATCCAGCAAATAGAAAACAGTCAAATAGAATGCAAATGATCCTAATAGGACTAGTGATCCTAAATGGTAAACTAAGTGGATCCAAGGGTCCTTCGAGTGAGCAGATACTGAGAGAGATCCTCCTCATCAGTGTCTTCATCATCTTCAGCATCTTCACCAACTGGTTTCTTGCCTTTGTCAGATGTGGAAGGATCATGAGGTGCCACGGGAGTAGAGGTGAGGTCAATGGGAGCAGGACTCATAGATCGAATAGGAGCTGATGAACTGGGATCAGTAGAGCGCCGCTCTTTACCATGAGAAACTTTCTCAACCACAAGTGGGGGAAAGAGAAGATTCTTTTTATCCAAGAAGTCTGCTTGTTGCTCGGATGACATGGTGAACATGAGACCATGTTCAAAAAGTAGAACATGTTGTTTAAAATCTCGAAAGAGCTCAACCACTTCAGAATTTGAAGAAGAAGATGCCTTAGTGGTAGTTTTTCTAGGATGAATAGAAGTCAGTGATGGAGTGTGAAGGGGATCATGTGCAGCCTTAGATCTAGGTTCATTAGACGTGGCCCCCTTATAAACCCACAAATTATCCCTAAAGACAAGATTCTTACGCTCAAAATAAGCCTTCGTAAAGGCAGAAGAAAACGTTTCTTTGGGACACACCAAGGATGGGTACTTTGAAAAACTAAAAAATCTTCTAAAGAAATTTTCCATAAGACAATTTTTACGAGAATCAGTGGTAAAGCGAAGTAAAAACTTGCACATGACAAAGTCAAAGTCAATGCGAATTTTTTCTCGAAAATAATAAAAAAGATACAGAACCATTTTATTGGCATCTGTCCTATGACCATCGGTAGGCACAAGTAAATTTAAAATGATTGAGAAAGCAATGAGATTCACAGGAGCAAGGTCATTTAGTTTTGCATCAGCAGGGGCAGAAAACTTCTTTTGAAAATAGAACAACATCTTAGCACTGTCAAAGTGATTATCAGCAGTGGGATGCTCTTCATAAGAAAAGAAATTGGTAATTTTACTTTTGCATCCTGGTTCAATAACAGTATTTAAAATAGTATTCACAATCTCAGGATCAAACACTAAATCTATCCCATTTACCCTGGACATAATTTCAGTGTGGTCAGTGCCTTTCTTAAGATTGGCAAAGAATTGATACAGCATTTCAGGGTAATAAACGTTAGGCATGGAAATGATATGTGACCATTTCTGGAATTCAAAGAGACGCAGAATGGACTCTAAACCTATCTTGCGAAACTCAGAGGGATTTATAGTACGTTGAGAATGAAACCTTTTTGGGTATCCAGGAGTGTTTTTCTTTGGCAGCATCATCAAAGAATGGGGAGACAATGGTTGATTGGGAGGGCAGTTGAGATGTAGTCCCTTGTCCGGATTCAGGCTGAGCAGAAGGCTATGAAGTTTGAGCCTTTACTACTCCCTTTTTGACACATTTGGATGATCTTTTGATCCTAGGAGAATCAGCATCCTCATCCCTGAGTGTGTGTTTGCGTCCGGCAGGCACTTTTCCTCCTCTTAGATTCACCATTGTGTGAAATGTGTGAGATGTATGATGCAATGATGCACACAGTAGTATGGGACGAATCACACAAGAATTTTAGGGTAAACGAGCCTTGAAGATGATTGAATAGAATGATTATGGAAAAATAGGGTTTTGAGGAAAAATTTGGGAACTGTCGAAATGTGATGAGATTTGGTGAAAAGATCAGGAATATGAACTCGCAATGATCAGGAAAAGTTTTTTGTTGAATCAATTTTGGAATAAGTGCTTCAGAATATCATGAATTATATAGAGAAAGGAGAGACGGTTTTTCGTCCGAGAGAGAGGAGAAGAAGAAGGGTCTGAAGTAAATGAGGAGGGAAGTTACTTTAAAAAGTGTACCGTTGCACTGTCGGACGGCCGAACGAAGTCGTGCGTCCGACAGTTTCGTCCAAACAGGTGCTTTCTGGGAAAATAGCTGAAGAACATTATCGGACGTCCGCTCATCTGCTTTCGGACGTCCGAAGACTTTGAGCAGAAAAATTTTTAAGATGATTTTTCGATTATCCCTAATTTTGATCTTAGATGAATGAATTGATCCAATGGCAAAGCTTTTGTAAAAATATCAGCAATCTGATCTTTAGAACAAACATAATTCACACAAACTTCACCTTTTTGAACAAGATCGCGAATAAAGTGATGCTTTATATCTATATGTTTTGTCCTAGAATACCGAATTGGATTTTTGGTCAAATTGATAGCACTAGTATTATCACAGAATATAGGCATGCAATCATATAACAATCCAAAATCATTTAAGGTATCTTCATCGATAAAAGTTGAGCACAACATGCACTAGCGGCAATATATTCCGCTTCGCTTGTAGATAAAGAGATTGCATTTTGTTTTTTGCTAAACCAAGAAACTAAGCAATTACAAGAAAGTGACAAGTTCCACTAGTACTTTTTCTGTCCACACGACAACCACCAAAATCCGCATCCGAATATCCATATAGAACAAATTCACAAGATCTAGCATACCAAAGACCATAGTCTAATGTACCTTTCAAATACCTAAAAATCCTTTTAACAGCGTTCAAATGTGATTCTTTTGGACAAGATTGAAATCTAGCATACAAACAAACAACAAACATAATATTAGGTCTACTTGCGGTTAAATAGAGTAGGCTTCCAATCATACCTCTATAGTGCTTTTCATCCACATGATTACATTCTTCATCTTTGTCAAATTTTGTAGAAGTGCACATTGGAGTTCCAACTTGCTTTGAGTCCTCCATGCCAAATCTTTTCAGCAATTCCTTAGTGTATTTTGCTTGATTTATAAAAATTTCCTCTAGGGCTTGATGTATTTGAAGTCCAAGGAAGAAATTTAATTCTCCTATCATACTCATTTCAATTCACTTTGCATAATGGTGGAAAAATCCTTGCATAAATACTCATTAGTAGCACCAAAAATAATATCATCTACATATATTTGCACAATAAGAAGATCATTTAACACTTACTTAGTAAAAAGTGTGGTGTCCACAATACCTCTTTTGAAACCATTTTCAATCAAGAAACCACTCAATCTTTCATACCAAGATCTTGGAGCCTGTTTTAAACCATATAATGCTTTTGATAGTTTAAACACATGACTTGGAAATTTTATATTTTCAAAACCAGGGGGTTGATCCACATATATTTCTTGATCAATAAAACCATTTAAGAAGGCACTTTAACATCCATTTGAAACAATTTGAAACCTTTGAAGCAAGCAAAAGCAAGAAGCATTCTAATCGATTCTAATCTAGCTACGGAGCAAATGTTTCATCAAAATCAATTCTTTCTTCTTGTGCATATCCTTTAACAACTAATCTGGCTTTATTTCTTACAACTACAACTTTATCATCCAACTTATTTGGGTTTAAAAATAAAAAAGCCCCCTGTGGTAAGCCTAATACACAGAAAAGCCCCATATGATTTCAAAATATACAACGCGACATCTCGTGCTTTGAACTAAGTTGTAACATTGACGGAAATCGGTAAAATTAACGGAACTGATGTACTGTAAGCTAAAAACAAATTCTTTATACTTAATTTTTAGCAAATATTCCTATTGTACCCCTTAGCCCCCAATAAATCCCTCCCAGCGATGCTTGTGTATGGAATCGATTTCTACTTGATGGAGAGAAATTGAACTAGCCTTTGGGAGAAATCAAATTATCACACAGGAGGTTTGAAAGGTAAAGCCATCCTCTAGATACGAAGTCAACCTGCGAGGAACTACTACACAATCTTGGCTAAGGTAAAAGCATTTGATTTTGGGTTTTGGCTAACAAATTGTTGTTATTAGGGTTTAAAGTAAGAATGTTGGTAACTAAATTGGGATTTATCTACTGATGAAGGGAAATGACTGGCTAAAAAATTTGCTCATGTCTTCCTCAAGCTCTCGAGGGGATAGTGGAGCTAGGAATCTACGGTACCAATATAAGATGTGCGACTGTCGAAGAAAGGCAAAGGTGAAGATTGTTGAGTCCGAAAAGCCATCCAAAGGGATGCTGTACTTTGTTTGTGAAAGGGATGAATGCAGATTTTTCTCATGGTGTAATCCCATCTATAGAGATGAAACCGGCAGAGGAAACTTTTTGAGAGGCCAATGGTTGAAGAACATTTGTCGTGCTTGAACTCGAATTTTGAAGTGAAGAACTTGAATGATGAAGTGAAGAACTTGAAAGTACTAGTTAGCTATTGTCTAATGGTATCTGTTTTTTCACTTTTGCTTTTGTTGATGAAAATGTCTGTAAAATAAGACAATGAAGAAGCTTATGATGGAAATGAAGAAAATCAGGTAGTTTATTTTGTTCATGGAAATGTGCACTTTATTCTTTTGTTTTTCTGTTTTCTGAAAGATGTCCTACCTAAAACAATGAAACAAACATCTAACTATTATATACACTTGTAATCATATTTGTGCATTAAAAATAGTTTTGAGCAATAAGCACACACAATAACGTCTTCTGCATTCCAGTTTTGAGTAATAAGTACACCAAAGTACATTAAAATTTCCAGTCCATAAACTATTCCAAAAATATATCCCACCAAACATTCCAGAAATATATCCCACTATACATTCCAGTTTTGATAACAATTTCAAATAGAGTAGACAAAATACATCCCACCAAACAAAAACTGCCTAGACAAACAGTACATGAAATATTCCAGCCCATAAAAACTGCCCAAAAATAGCTTCTTCTGCAATTGAGAAATACCATTGCAGCCCATAATCATAATA